GAGCATAACTTTCAAATTTAAAAAATCTATGAAAAAGAAAATTTGAGACAAATTTTTTTTTTAGATTAATAGACTCCCTTTTTAAAGCCGAATTGAATGGTGGCGAGTTTTTAAAAATCCAATGTGTGGATCACATAATATTTCAAAAATTTTAACTTTTGAGTATAGATGATCCGCACTGTAATAAAAATTAAGAATTGCGAAATTAGTTAATTTCGGCCAAAAGAGCCTCCAAATTAATTCCGGTAACATATATATGAATGAATATGAATGAACATTTTTACATTTTTTAGAAGCTTTAATAATAAAAATATGATAAAAATGCATTTTTTATGGGTAGAGTGAGTCTTTTAACAGAATATTTAAATATTTTCATATTCATATTTGTATTGGGCCTAAATAATCTTATTCTACCCATACTGTATTTATAGGCTTTTAAACCTTGAAACATTCAAACGAGTTGCACTTGATTCCGATGAAATCTTATCACATGGTTTAATTATTGGATTTTACCAACCATCTTTGAATTCCATTTAAATTTCAACATGTGATTTACCAGATACAAGATCTTTATTTGGAACGAACATTGAATTTGACAGTGTGTTTTGGCGACTAAAATAATGGCTAGAATAACAACTTTTAAATATAATAAACAGCCTTATCTTACATCTTTCAGAACAGCGACAGAAGATTTACTTTTGAAATGTAATATGTTTTGAAATTCTTTTTTAACATAGTCAAGGCACTCTTGTTATAATGACATTTTCTCAAAGACAAATGTTTATAAATATAAATTTACTTTTGTTGTAAGGGCATTAATTCACTATACATCCAGTTATACTAGTATAATGGCATAATTTGTCAAAACATATAATAATGTGATCAGGGGTGGAATTCCGAACGGGTCGGGTCATAAATTTAATTTACCTGCTTAAATATATATTTTAAAAATATTCATTTATTTATTGATTAAATTTATTTTAGAATTGGATCCAAGAATCAAGAATGAGAGCAGAAATATATTGATATTGCCAAAAAATACTAACTGATAAATACAATGAATGCTATTATAATGCTGATACTGCTGTTGTTACTAATGTTTCTGCTACTAATAATAATAATGAAAATATTTTTTTTACATTTTCATTTAGTATCATTAAGATTTCCACTCCAAAATACTTTCAAAAAAAAATAAAAATAGCTTTAGCAATAATTTGGGTTTCTTAATATTTTTTAAGAATAAATGTAAAAAAAATTATATAATCAACCTGATTTAATTTAAATAATTTAAAAATAATTTTGCCTAGTTTTTGCATTAATAAAAAATAGTTGGACTATAAAAAATTAATTTTGTTTGGTGTTTTGGCAATTTTGGATACAAAGAGGGACTGAAAACCCTAGTATCAATTATAATGAACTAGAAGTAAATTCTTGAACAGATCCACTACAATATTGAAAGGTAATAAATTAATTATCTAGTATATTTATTTTTCAACATTTATTATTATTTTCAATAATTATAATAGGTTCATGAAGCCACCTCTAAACCTTTTTGAAATGGCAGGTGATTATCAGGCAAGAATCATTTTTTAATGTTTATTTATATATTTAATTTGTAAAAATAAATAAGTATATTATTTAATATATACTGCAATTAGTCACAATTCAATTTTCATATGCTGCAACTGCAACTGCAATCCAATTTTTATATTCTGTAATTAGTTTCAATTAATTGAGGAGCCATCTTTAATGTAAGGAATAGGTGTACAGTGCATAACATAACAAGCCATCTAATTACTGCACCGCATGTACCAAATTCAAGAAAATTTTCAATTTTTTTTATTACTTCATTACAAAAAATGCAGTTAAAAAAATAAAATCACGTGATTAATATTTTTATTCATTATTTCTATCAATTTCTTCCATAATTTTTTCAGGTATTCTTCTATGTGATTTATATTTTTCCAAAGCATACTCTGCCTGTAAAACTGATAGGCCTTTCCTATAGCACTTCATATATTTTACTGATCTTAATGCATATTTTCTTATTTGTTTTAATGATATAGAATCAAAGGCTCTTGGTATATTTTCCTTTAAACCTTTCCAGGTATAATCACAATGTTGTCTTACATACCTTTTGGCATTTTATTTTCAAAAAATTAAAAAGGTTTAAAAGGGCTAAAAAGTTAAAATTTTCATTTGAATTAGAACGCGTTTCTCCCTAATTTTTGTTAATCTCGTGTACACGTAATTTTGCCAAAAAGTTGAAAATTTTAGGCACGTGTAGCATAAATCGGGCCAAAATTATATGTATCAAATTTATATGTAACATATAAAAATCACATGATTTTTAAAAGCTTAAGGCTCCTGAACCAAGCAGTATTTTTTATTATCTCAATGATAGATTGTAGAGCTGATCAAAAGCTATCAAATATCATCTTTATCTTTTTTAGATAGCCATTCAATATTTTCTTTTAGGTTTTAAAATTAGTCCATTTTTATGTGATGGTTTATTATGTTACGCACTGTATCAGTTGAATCTTTTTGACTAGCGTTGGTTGCTAAAACTATTTTGAAGAGGCAAAAGTCAAAACTAAATCAAAATCAAAATTAGTTTCAACTCATGGTGAAACCTTTTGACTTTCACACAGTTGCGAAACTCTCTAGTTTTGGAAACCAACACTATTTTGGGCAGTGGTGACCTAATTACAAAAAAATGCATTTGGGAAAAGAAATAATTCAAAGCATGCATGTGTCTGAAGAATTAACTTAGAGACAATAATATTACTAAACTGTAAATTAACTTTTAGTTATTTTTAAAAATCCAGTTACTTTACAATTGTATTTTTTTAATTTATTACTGTATATTTGAATATCTGGCCTGGGTACTGACCCTACCCATTTGGGTCAGGTCAGTAATTAAAAAATTCAGGTAGGATTAGGTATGTCATTCAACCCAACCTATCCCAACCCATTCGGAACTCTAAGGTAAACTTACCAGCATATATAAATGATTCAACAACAAAATGTAATAATGAATCTATTAGATATAAAGTTTTAGTTCACTTGTAACAATTCAACATGATATAATTATTTTTGCGAAACATGTAACATTTAATTTAATAACATAACACATGATTATTTTATTTGTAACATTCATTTATTTCATGTTGTTTTATTTATCTTATACCTATGTCCTATAATCATCCGGATAGATTGATAAGTTTATTAAGTTTATATTATATTAAGTTTATATTATATTTATATTATATTTATATTATTATTTATATTAGTTTATATTACTATTTATATTACCAATCTTATGTATTTCTTATAAAAAGGACATCAATTTAAGTTAATTAAGATAACTTGTAATTTTACAATAATTAAATTACTTAATTTGTTTAAATAAATCATTTAAACATTTGAATGCTTACATCACTATTTAAAAATACAGTAGTTTAGAGGTTACAAAATATTGTCATCTTCATTCTAGTAAAGATGATATTGGAAAAGTTTATGTTGCTAAAAATTCTGGTGGCTTGAAAACTTCTTTGAACTTCTAAGTATGATAAAGATGGTAATTAAATATTTAATTATCTAAAGACAATAAAAAAGAAAGACAATATTTTATTTTTTTATTTAAATTATAATGAAAAGGTATCTAGCCTATAATCCTCCATTTCTTTTTATTAAGCAAACAGGGTCTAATATTTTACCAATTATAATCTTTATATCATAGATTAATATTCTGCAAAAAAACAAATTTAGTCAGGTGACCTCAAAGACCCTTTTTGCTACAAATGGTATCATTGAGATATGCAATTTTGCACATTTGCAAATAATACATTGTTAAGAAGTATAAATTTTTGTAAATTTTATTTTATTTTAATTATTTGAAAAACTTCTAGTTCATCAAATCTATTACTACTTACCATATTGATGTTATTATAAACCCTTGATGTATAATAAATAATACCATCTATATGAAAAAGAAGATCACTTACACCAAAAATAGATAAAAAAGAATCACCACAATGAATTGCTTGCAGATAATTTTAACATAGCTATTAGCTAATTAATCAGTATTAATATCATTTCTATATATGCAGCCCAAAGTATTTTGACACTGTCATAAAGGGGGTTACACATGTAGTAAAGGGGTGTTACACTTATGTTTTAATAGTGAATGCCGTAATTAATTTCTACTTTCTACCATCAAAATTGGAATAATTTTGACCATCAAAATCACCAAACCAATTTGGGCTGCATGTATAATCATTTCTATTACTTATATTAAATATAAAACTTTTATTCATAAAAAAATTTTTCCATTCCAATCAAGTGGATTATAACCACCAATTATTTGATTTGAATTTTGTATTTTACCAACTACAAATGTCTTGTTGATGCCATCACATTTTTGATGAAATGTTGTAGGATTTACATCATCTCTACTGCTGCAATATAAAAGTTTAAACCTATATTTAACTTCTTTGTGTTCTTCAACAAGTTTCTTAGAAAATAATGGCCTTTTATATTTATCCAACTTGCAAAGACAAAGCAAGCCTTTTATTAATTGTCATTGATTCTAATTTTAAATTTCTGTAACAAGCTTAATTCTTGTTGTCTATCAGGAAATAGATAATATTGTAACAGGTTGTTCCAGTAAAAAGTTTCTGATATTGTTTTTGTAATGCTGCAATTATATTATTTTTTCAAAACAAGTAATATAAAATTCATTACACAATTCATTCCATCATGAATCTTGATTTAACAGATAGTTTGGGCAATTAGGAAAAATTTTCCAAAAATCCATTAAACTGAGTTATTTGCTATAGTTGGCTTGGTCTAAAGACCTCCTAAATTTTGGGCAAATTTTAAAAGTATCGAAGTCACTTTCTGTCCTACCTTTTAAAAAAATAGCTCTATTAATTGATATAATATGTCATTAGTTTTAATGTAATAGAGAGATTTTCTCAAAAAAATTATTTGTTGTAGAGTCTATTCTTTTTTAAAACATGTACTTTACTATGCTCGCGAGGAATTTGTCCACTATGATCATTTCTAAATTTAGGAAAAAATATTACCAAATTTAGACTAGCTATCGACTATCTTATCTAAATTTGGAAGTAAGAAAACTAAAATCACGTGAAGTCCTATTTTTGAAAAATTTTATTACATTTATGAACGAATTACAAAATTGCTATTTTTAAAATTGGCCGCATGGCGCAGCAATAGGAGGTCTTTAGACCAAGCCAACCATATATCAAGAAAATTTTTATTAAGGTTTATTATGGAACTGTTCTTTGAACTTTATCCATAAAACTGGGATTTTTAATTAATATCCACTAAATTGAGATTCACCATGTATTTCTTTTGTTATTTGTATGGTACAGGACACCTAGTCCCTACAACTTTCTGCGCCACAGTGACAGATTTGGGAAAAAATTCACAATCAAAAATGCAATAAAATTTTTACAGACACGTGTTTAAAAATAGGTTTGTCACGTTGCATTCTCTTTATTAGTATCACGTGATAAAAGATCTGCAATACAGTTTTCAAATTTTTCAATTCTTCCAATTCATTCATTTTTAATATAAAAAATTTGTGTGTAACATGTCACTTTGGGGGATTAACATAGTAAATTTGTTAAAATTGTGCAACTTTAAGGCTTAATTCCTCCACAACAACATGGCATATCAACAAAATGAAAATGTCATTTTGTAGAAAAAGGTCTTAGCTTCAAAATGTCATCTTGTTTTTTTGGTCACACATTTCCATTTTTGGAGGAGTTAAAGGATTTGCAAGACTAATAAAAGTTGTAGGGGCTAGGTTTCCTGCACTATAAGTATATTTTACATGGAATTCAAGAATAAACTATTAATAAGGATATTTAAAGTATTTTGATAAGCTACACAATTTTAACTATTTTGATTGTTAGACCTCAATAGCCAATAATCGGGCTTTTATCTTATTTTAATATAAAACATAATAAAATGTCTCTATTGATCGGTGGACCACAAATTAATGTTATAACTCTGTAACCTCTTGCCTGAGTTGTAATTTCTTAGTTGTAAAGTCATCTTTACCCTAGAAGTCTGGCTGCCTTTTGGCTAACATGTTTAACCAGCTCAGGTGCTTGCAAGGGGATATCAGAAATGCCCTTGACAATGAAGCAGCTTCAATAAACTCCAGAGTATACATGCAGCCCAAAGTATTTTGACACTGTTTTAAAGGGGGCTACACATGTCATAAAGGGGTGTTACACTTATGGTTTTAATAGTGAGTGCCATAATTAATTTCTACTTTCTACCATCAAAATTGGAATAATTTTGACCATCAAAATCACCAAACCAATTTGGGCTGCATGTATACTCCAGAGCCATGTGCTCCTTCCTGAAAATTTAGTTGTATTACTTCCTTTTCAATTTTATCTTTATTGTACACAACTGCTTCATGCAAGTAATTTAGAATTCTTGTCCATTTGTCTGTGTATTTGAAGGAATTCTTGATTGCTGTAACCCTGTCTAATTCCTCCTGAACTGGCTTAAAAATATTCAGGAATATACTAGTTTAAAAACAAATAGGATGTCAAAAACCCATGCAATTATGCAAAATTAATAAATGTATATTATTTAATGCAAATAAGAAGCAAATATTTTTTATTTTATTAGTAAAGAAAGAAAAAACATGGAAAATGCAATTAGATTTGGAAACAGATTAATATTTGTGCAATGCATTACATAGCAAATACAGCTTAGTCCTCAATATATAATTCCATGTCATCAAACCAATTAAAAGATTTATTAATTTTAATTAGACATGATAATATTAAGCATGATATTAAAAGCAAAATTGCTTTGACAATGGACATATGAACATCCATCACATATCTAGTATCCATTACATGAATTCACAAATGAAAAAGATGATATGCTACCAGATTATATCAGGGTGGAAAATGCAATTAGATTTGGAAACAGATTAATATTTGTGCAATGCATTACATAGCAAATACAGCTTAGTCCTCAATATATAATTCCATGTCATCAAACCAATTAAAAGATTTATTAATTTTAATTAGACATGATAATATTAAGCATGATATTAAAAGCAAAATTGCTTTGACAATGGACATATGAACATCCATCACATATCTAGTATCCATTACATGAATTCACAAATGAAAAAGATGATATGCTACCAGATTATATCAGGGTACTATATAGTCTATTTGATGGTCTGTTGGTGTAACATTTTAACCATATTTAGTATTTTATCAATGGCAATGAAGCATACCAAAATTCATTGGTATCAACGAAGTCTACTGGCAACCCTCGGATCATATCAAGATTTTGACATGGGAGGTAAAATTATATCACTTACTACAGACAACACAACCAACATGGTATCTATTGGAGAAAAGCTATCAAATGAATTGGAATTAAGATTTGGAAAACATTATAGATGTGTATCACATATCATAAATCTAGCAGTAGATAGAACTTGTCAATGATCCATCTAAAAAAATTAAGCAATATCGTCATAAAAAACAAACCTTTTCTGATGCCAGTTTTAGGCATTGAGACAAGGTGGAATTCCACTTATTTAATGATTGAAAGATTCATTGAAATAAGATCAATTATTGAGTGTTTATTTAATAATAATTATGGAGAATTAAAATACTTAACACGTCAGATTGGATGCATATTGATTGGAATAAGTTTTATTCACCATCTTTTATGTTTTTTTTATTTATAAAAGATGCGTATTTATTTGTTTTAGGAATTATACCATATCTTAGAACCAGTCTATGAAGCAACCAAGTTATTATCATCATCGTCTTCATATCCAACAATTGGTGATGTAAGATTAGCTTTTATTTGTATGTTCATCACACCAGATCATTATCTCAATGCACTACAACAATCAATGAATTTCAGTAAAACTTGGCGAATATTTTTAGATTGATCACCATTATTAACACCATTTTAGATCCTAGAACAAAGTTAACTAACTGCATTTAGGCAATTTGGAGCAAATAATATTGCAAATGAAATATATAGTTAATGAACTTCAAATATAATTTCATCGTGACCACAACAATATTCAAAAAATCAAATTCTGCCTGTGATTACTTTTACAACATTGTACATCAAAATGTAACTACACAATCTGAAGATAGATAGATACTTGAGAACTCCAGTTTATCCGGGCTATTAACATCCTACATTTAGAAGGGTTGACTGTATATATTATATTTTATTTATTATGCCTTAAAAAATTTATTATTATTATTATTAGAAAAATTTATGATTGATTAATTAATTATATATACAAAATAATTTCCAAATATGATAATAAAATTACTTTTAAAATTAATGAATATTAATTATTATTATTACTATTATTACTATTATTTGTTGTTATTATTATTACAAATATTAAATATTGTTATTATCTTACAGTCGAAGATTCATCATAAAATCTTAAATACCAAACTAAAATACCAATAATTCCAACTATCAATATCGATGAAAATGCTGACATCAATTTATTATAATATTTCCATTTAAAATCGGAACTAGTAAAAGGTCTACGAGGATAAATCGACCCAAGCCACCATAAAGGAGGAAATAAAAACCCTAATAGAAATAATATTGAACCGTAAGGACATATGGGAGATTCCTCTTGATGTTTTGATGCTTTGTAGAATGAATTTTGGTTATGCGTTTGATATTTATAAAAATTTAAAGGTGAATTTTTTTTTGATAATTTATGAGAATTAGCAATGTGATTTCTTTTTGATCTATTAGCATTAGTATTAATAGCCATAATATCACTATCACCATTGCCATCGTTACTTTTAATTTTTAATTTTTTCTTTCTATTTCTATTACTTTTCTTTTTATCTTTTATATTGTTCACGTCATCATCGTCATCATTGTCATCATCGTCATCATCGTCATCCTCATCACTACTATTACTATGTTCACCACTACTACTATTAGGATTACTATTATCGTCACCAGGATTTCCAACACCAGCACCAGCAACAGATGATAAACTGTTACTATTATCAGCAGATGACGATATTGTATCTCCATTTCTTTTTGAAGAGGTAGATTTCATAGTATAAGAGTCGTAAGCACGAGTATAATAAGTATAAATCCACGAAGGCCATGATCCTGAAGACGCTTGAGACTCTCTTTTATTATCGGTATCCTCGCCATAGCCATTAACACTTGAGGTGGAATCTTTTAAACCTTTCTCAACGTTTGATAATTCTAGATTTTCTAATGGTTTCAATGGAATTACAATTTCACTTGGATCTATTATTATTGATTCTTCCAACTTTTGATCTTCTTTTAATTTATAATAATCATCGTCGTTGTCATCGCCATCGCCATCGTCATCGTCATCATTGTTGTTGTTATCATAAATTATTTCATCATTACTTGCAAATTTTATAAATTTTTTTTTTTTTTCTTTTGAAAATATCTTTTTTTTTGCCGTTGATTGCGGTGGATGATTATCATTATTATTATGAAGTTTTTGTGATTGTGATGGAAGAGCAACAGTTGATTGAGATAATTGGGCTAACTTAATTTTTGATGGTTTAGATATTTGTGCTTTTATAGCTGCATATTTTAATGGAGCGTTACTTCCTATCCCATAGCCTCCTATCTTTAATAAATTTTCAACAACCTGATATTGCCAGCTATTTGGTTCAAAGTTAGCATTAACATTAACATTAGCATTAGCGTCGACATTAGCAATCGGTTTAGGTGATGTGATGATATTATTATTATCACTGAGTGGTGACGATAATGATGGTGGCGGTGTTGATGGTGATGACGATGGTGGTGATGTTTTTGCGATATCTTTTGTAATGGTAATGACCGTGGCTTCAGGTTTGGGAGTAAACCCAGGGATAGAATTTTTTCTTTCTAATGACACCGTGAAAGATTTATAATTTTTTTTAGTTTATGAATTATTGATTATCTTTTTAGTTTTATAATAATATATAACTATTATATATTAACTATTAATATTTAGGTAAAAATGTTAATGAAAAAACATTTTTTTTTTTAGGAAAAAGTTCAGAAATAAATCTTTTTGGAAATTGATAAAATCAAATGACGACGGTATATTAATTAACCTATTTATGAATAAATAATTCTTTCTTACTTAAATTGGGTTTTCTATATAATATATATATACGTGTGCATCAATTTTTTTTAACCAAAAATTTATAGTTATATTGTTTTATTGTATTTTTGTTTATATTATATTTATATTATAATTTTATTTGTGAAATGTTTCTATTTTTTTACTAAGCAAAAATAAAAAAGTATAATAATGATGTTTTCTAAAGTTCAACAGTAAACTCGCAAGGTAGTTCATGTGAAAAAATTTTTTCTACTCGAAAATTAAATTTCACTTCTTTAAATAAGATTTCTGAAAAAATAAATAATTATGATCAATCAGTCTATTTATACATATGTATAAGTCTCCCATACATTCATTACATTCATTTTTTTAAAAAAATATGGATAATTTTTGGTTAGATTAATATTTAAATGATATATCAAGAATTGTTGATGAACCTTAAAATTCTATTTGTCAACCAACACAACATTTATGCAATTTTACATAGAGAGGGGGATTCATTATTATTCAGAGTATTTTGCCATAACTTTAAATTCATTGTTACACTCATCCCAAATTTGTAATAGACGTAATTTTTTAAAAGTATCTTATTTAATTGGTTTATTTCTTATTATTTTTTGTTTTTATTTATATCTTGCAAAATGGGTAATTTGACACATTTTAATATATATTCATGCATATCTCAAAATCAAAATCCCATGCTAAATAAATGGCTAGAATTAGATCAAATCAAATACATAACGGGAAATTCCTTCTTTACACCACCACCATATTTTAATTCAAACTCTCAAATAATAATAACATTATAACATTACAGGAAACCTCTTCCACCATCTTTGACAAACAAACAAATCTTAATATTGATAGCATACATATATAATCTTTTAATAATAAATACCCTCATCATCATCATCATCATCATCGCCTAATATACCAATTGCTGGATTTTTTTATCGATTTCTGTTTTTCAACCAAATTTTTTTTCCCTGATCTGTTCTCATTATCTTCAATTACATCCATTGACAAAAGATATTTTTCAAGATCTAACAATAAATCAAGCAATAATCAATTGATTGGATCGATTAGATATAATAGTATTATTGGTGCATACCTTCTAATTTCATACTAACGTTGATAATCTAACCAATCGTTGTGCTAAATTTTCATTATAATTAACAAAATAGGTAAATTTTTATCAGGATAATTTGGTATGGATTGATCCCCAATTATTCTAAAAACTTGGTTGATTTATGTTAAATCATCGAAATATATTTAATGATTTACATTCTACAATCCTAAAAAATAAATTTGAACTTTATTTCTCCATTGTGTTAAATAATTGTAATTATTATTCACGGATCTTTAAGATAAATGTGCAACAACTGGTGCTTCTTTGGTAGTTTCCATAACCTCTTTAACCAAATCTGGTTTAGGATTTGAAAATTTTCCACGGGTTGTTTCAGCTTTCATTTCAGCTATCCTCCCTTACTAAGTCAAATTTTTTAAAATAACATTAACAATAATAATAATAATAATAATAATATTATTATTATTATTATTAATTGTAATTTCAATTCATTCGTCCTAATACTACTAGCTACTTTTCTTTGTTTGGAATTTACCGGTGTTCCATTAAGATTCTAATTCGTCAAGTTCCTCTAGAATTTTATCTTCTAAATGTTTATCATGTTTATCTTCTTATCAAGTTCCTCAGAAATTTCTTATTCCATTGGCCCTTAATTATAACACGAGCACGTAAAAGGTCATTTCTATTTCACACAATTATAGCCACTAACTTATTTGTTAATAAATTTTGTAAAAAAATATTTGATGTGAAGAAAATTATTCCCGAATTTGTATCCCAATTTTTTTTAAATAGTAATAATGATAATGATCAAATAATTCTTTTATTGTTATACGACCTACTAAAACAAATATAATCTATATTTATCAAATCTGCCTTGAACTCTGATTTCAACCATCCATATTCATATCACGTAATAAGATTACACATTCCTGATCTAGAATTGTGGCTCCCTGTCAAAATCCTACCGAACATGGTCACGTGGTAACAATAAGATTATATATTAGTACATCTCGGTAATCGCATATATGTTTTAAGAAAGCTAGTGTTTTAAATGTATGTACAAATGAGTATTTTATCACTACTATTACTAACTATCGCCGTAATAATTTTCACACTACTATCTTTTCTTCAAATCCATTTGATATCTTGTTTTTGTTTCATTCCACATTTATAACCAATGATTTTCGATGATTTATATTGAGAATTAATCTGCGCAGCAATTCAAAGCAAAAAAAAAATAAGTGTGTGAAAATTATATTATCGGCGAGACTTTTTTTTACATAGTAATAAATATGTTGCTTGTCTCCTTCTCTATATACCGGATCCACAGATCCGCACCACTTATTAGGAGTTATGAATTTTCAAAGTTTTAGAAATTGTACAGTTTGCACTCTCTATATATAACGATTGCGAAAAAATGAGAGAATCCGTCATAGACAGTAAATAGTAATGATTTATTATTATATATGGAACATAAATTGTGCTTAAATTTTCTCAGTCTGTTATAGAGCAAGATCCGTTATCGTTATAGAGAGAGTGAGCGGAATGTTGGAATACATTTATTGTACATATTTATTATTTTAATTAATAATATAAATTTTCATTATTTTTAATATGTATTTTATTATTATTTTATAGATAAATAAACATTAAAATGAAACCCAATTAATTGAGACATCATTTTAACTTGCATATAGATTTATTCGTTGTTTTGTCATTTTAACATTTAAGCAATACATTCAATGGATGTGTATTATTTGTTAATTTCATTGATTCTATTATATCTTTTCACATGAAAAAAAAAACGCATTGAACATCATTGTGAAAATAAATTCTAAATAAAATTATATGAAAAAAAAATTTTTTTTTTGAACAATTTATTCATGTAACGGTTATATTGAATGACTGATGGATAATAAGTTCCAAAAATGTTTTTCATTTAGGCATGCATTGCATTTTAAATTGTTGAGAGTATATGATTTTTAGGCCAATCAAAATTAATTTTCACGTGATTCAAATGTGATCGACAAGAATGTCCACTATTACTATGCTTATAAATATTATTATATATAGAATGATATCTTCTAGCTTCAAACCCTTAGTCATCATCATGGAAACATGCGTAAAATAGAAGTTCCTTAATAAGTATAAACTTATGGTGGATGCCTAATTAAATTGGCAAGTGTCAATTTCAAATTCGCTAACTTTTATTCTTATTAAAGAATAAAGGGATATATTGTATTAGTAAGCATTTTAATTTTTTTTTTTACCTACAATGAAAATTATGGCTCTCAGCAGTATATTCAATATAGTTTTGTATTGATATCATATTATTATAAAGGAACATGTTTTGTTTAGTATTAGAGGTTTTAATCACCTTTTCCAAAATCAGAACCGGTTTAAACCAAATTTAAATAAAACCGGTTTTTTAACCAGATACCTAGTTGTAATAAAACCGCAAAACCGGTTTGCAACTGGTAAACTGATGATCCAATTCATCGTTTTAATGTTGTTTAATTAATGAGGATCAGACGAAATAAATTTTATACTAGCAAATGGTCTTGGGTTGTTTATTTAACAGGGTTATTTGTTTCCGAGTCGAAACTTGTTATTATTTCCTTTATTCAAGAAAAAGCATTTTACAGATACAGTAGTTCGGGTTGCTTATATACATACATGTCCATTAATTATAGCGTAATAATTTAAATGTAAACATGTAATTTACACGCAAACCAGTGTTATTACACTTGCGCTACTTACTTAACTGAACTGTTCTCATGACGCTGTCCCTACATAATATAATAATAATATATACAGTCAAGCCTCATTTCTACGAATTAAATTCGCATTATAACAAAATTCTTTTGTTTCACATATAAAAACATATAAAATTCGTTAAAACGCGATTATTAATTTTCGTACAAAAAATTTTAAATGCAATGTTTTTATGCGTCCCATAGATTCGGGATATGACTGTACAAGTAATAAAATAGAAATAATAACACGAAATCGGGAAAATTATTTTTATTCACATCCCACCATTTAAAGAATCCACCATAATATCAATCTGTCGAAATTATCTACAGAAAAGAATATTTGATATGAATCTGGTTTTTCGTATATGGAAAAATCGGAATCGAATTTATGTTGCAACCGGCTCCAACCTTGACAAAAGCGTTTAACGAAAAACCCATATTATATTTTGTACTATGCTTAATTAACTCAATCTTTTGAGTATACACAGGTTCCTTATTTCGTACATCTGCGCCTCTGTACTAAATAATGTTCTATACGTGAAAAATTTGAAAAACATTAGGGTTGTGTTGGTATCGGTCCCAAAGACTGTTTAAAGGCTATTCTGATGTGAATTAGATATTAGTTAATAATAAAACTTTGGATATAATCGTGCAAATTTTATTATAAATTCATTTATTATAATTATATTATAATTATTAAAATTATTAAATTGCAATTGTTTTATCAGATCTGTAGATAATTATATACAGTATTATATATAATATATATTTTTACAAGGCGAGAAATAGATTTTTTAATAAAAATCAAATAAATTATAGATACATTGGTGTTTGTCATTATAATATATTTAATTCAAAAAATAATAAAATCCACAATGTAATTCTTAATTTATAAGTAACCTCAAGGCGTTTTTAAATTTCATAAAGTCATAATTCATAAGTAATTCTTTAATTTATAGATCAGATCAGCTTAAACAGGTTTCAAATCAAACCAGATTTCTTTCAAATCTGATCTGATCCTATCTATTCGAAACCCTACATACAATAACCAATTCTATAATATCAACCAAAGAATTTTCAAAATAATTAATACAGAAGAGTATGAGAAAAAAAATTTTTTTTTGAGTAAGCTAAAAATACTTGAAAGAAATTGAGGAACTGCGAAAGGATTTTAAACAATCATTCGATAAAATACTGAATTGAATCCAGATTTACATTTGGTGAAAGGGTAACTGAAATCTGCAAATTATGTAGCTATCTCCACCGCAAAAAA